TTGATTTTCTACTCTCGACTGTGTTTGGTAACAGTGATTTTGGGTAAGAAGGAGTGGCTGTGCATTTTTTGTGTGTCGGTTGAAAACGCTTGAATTCGCCATTTTGTGAACCACTAATGCAAAACACTCCAGGGGTTTCGTGAAAAATATTTTTAAAACAGGACGTGCACGACACTAGTTGTCATTCATTTGAAGATATCATAAACAGACAATAATTGTTTGTATGTTTCGCATTTTATTGGAAATGCACAAAGTGGTCCTCCAAAACAGATGAACGATTTATGAAATGAGTGTTAGGAATCGTTGAGATTATTCGAAAATATTATTGCCAACAACACTTGAAGATAAACTGAATTAAACTTCTGAGTGTACAAATAGTAGTAATGATTACCGATGTGCACTCAGAGGTATGAAAGACAGCATTTCTATATTCAACCCACACAAACTGCGTCAATACTTTTCTAGTGATGGTTGGCAGGATTCCTGCACACAATTGGGACTATTGGTGAACTACTAACTTCTGGGTCGTAGGGATTGGCGCGCATGCGAATGCAGTTTTACAATAGTACATGAGCGCCACTTTTGTGCCTTAGGTAATGGCGCTCATGTACATGTAGATCATTTGCTATTATTAGAAGGGAGATCAGCATTACAAATTTATTGCTTGATTCTACTCGAGGCGCGAAATTTGATGTACAAGTCTGCTACTTCAACAAGATGCCTCAAATAAGTTGCAAGTACTGCAAATTTTAAACATATATCGTGCATAGCTACGCTAATTCACGCTACCATTCGAAGGGTAAAAAATGTTGCTCAACAAATGATTGGCTGCTTGTGCATTACCGGTACACGACTACAGATGTACTTGTGACCTAGCTGTATGGATGTGTGTCAATTCATTTTCACTCGAAATCTTGAGCAAGGCGGACGGTGAATGTGACATTGGCATAACTTTGGTATCCCTGCTCTTTTGACCCTACCTATTCAGAACAGACAACTTTGAAACAGCGTTTTATAATCATGCTATGTGACCAGAATACAAATTAAAGTCAACAGTATTAGTTGTTGTGGCAGTAAACTGCAGTGCTAAAACATGTGATCCCATAGCCACAATTTATCTATTCGCATATTTGATATAGTCCCGATTTGCCTTTATAAATTACTCTGCATATTTGGGTGTTATTCAAATCAGTTCTCTAACAATCGAAAAAGGAACAGAATTCCTTGAATGCTCCTAAACATTTGGGATTCTGATTTTGTCTGGTTTCTCAAACATTCATGTTTTGTTCTCAGGAGTACAGAAAACAACGGCAAAGTCTAACACAAGTGAAAGGGGAAGACTGCGATTCAGGGAGCTTGCTAGTGAGCAAATATGAGTTTGAATCTTAAATGCAGACGTAGTCCACATACCTCTGAGGTAGTTTTCGAAAGTATTTGTGCCTATTTTTTGGCAGGAATTCTCCAGAAAACACCTCTAAAACAGATACACTAGTTTCCAGATGATCCCTGGGAGAAAAATGATTCACCTCAAATGTAAATAAACGTCTGAAATAAGAACCAATTTTCGGAAGGTCTTATTAATTGCATTGATAGTTTGACCAGCAGAAAATTGGCAGTCAAATCCCGCAGATATTTCTGCAAGTTGAATGATTTTTAAACCAGATTTACTAGCGAATAACCAGCAATTTCTATAACAACCTTCACATGATTCATGAGCTGCATGAGTATTCTGTAGTACGTGCAACAACATCGTTATTGAAGCAGTAATTCCAGAATTACCTGTCAATATTGAAAATAAAGGCATTAAAAATGTACACAGTTGCAAATCTGCAAGAACAAATGCACCTTACTTATTGGTGTTGGACGCAGAATATGTATTATGGATATAATCGTGGACATCCAGCTCCAGGTACTGGACGGCTGCCATATTACAATGCCAGAGTACTAACAAATAAATGTCATTTGATGTCACTAAAAGGTGCCAAGATCGATGTTGTGTGTCTGTGTGTGTTTTTTGTGCACATGGCGAATTTGTTCAAAATGACTTTGGAAGAAAGTGCAAATGCAATGGTGTTGCTGGTTTAAATAATTGTCAGTGCTTTTTAAGTGCAAACAATAAAGGTAAATTGGGATGTTATTATTTGCTATGGTATGTCAAAAGATGGGTTTCTGACTTTACTGCGAGAGTACTAACAAATGTCATTTGATGTCGCTAAAAGGTGCCAAGAGTGATGTTGTTTGTGTGCGTTTTTGTGCGCATGTTTATGAATCAAAGTCATCATCGTCCGGAGATTTGTGGCCAGAAATGAATCCTGGCTTAGCGATAAGACGGAATCATACTAATAGATCGCCAAACGTCAGCACAACGAAGGTCGATCTTCGTCCAACGTCGGAGTCACCAATTGTTGTGGGCCCAAGCATGTGGTCTTGAACAACGCCGGGGTCATGGAATTAAACCTGGTCCGATTACGCTTGCCTAATACCCGTGAAGAAGAAAAAAGGGCGGAGAGGACGTGGACACAACCGTTTACTTCAGAGCTCAACGTCGTTGGTGTCGTTGTGTCGTGTGTGGGGTTTGCGCGTGTGTATTCATAGCTCGGATGTGTTAGACATACATGCGCTAACATCAAAACCTATATGTGGGGATACTCCAAGATAAATATTCGTGGTAATGAAGAGGGAGTTGAGGATTCGCGAGGCTGGCGACATGCTGCGACAAGGGGAACCCTGTGTCGGAGGTGCAGCGACCGAATTAAGGGGTGTGAATAAACACGAGTCACAACAACTAATTGTAAACTGCCATTTTGGGTCTCTACCCGGTAGGCACGTTATGGACTGGACTGGCAAATCACGAATATCCTCAAAGAATTGATAAATAGATAAGAAGATTAACGAATGAATCGAATGCACTTTGACCGCCTTAAGATTTGTTTCAAATTACCCTTGTGGTGAATTTGTTCAAAATAAATTTGGAAGAAAGTGCAAATGCAATGTCGGTGTTGATGGTTTGCATAATTTGGTGTTGATGGTTTGCATAATTGTCAGTGCCTTTAAAGTGCAGGCACTAGAGGTAAATTGGGAGCTGTTTATTTACTATTAAATGTCTAAACGCGGATCGAGAGAAAAGACGGGATTCTGACTAAAGTTATATCAGATCTAGATAAATATATATGTAAAAGAAGAAAAATTGCAAGGTGGCCTTGCTGTTTCTTCTTTTCCTAGATGGCAACAGCCGAGGTGCCAGCAGTATTTTAACCGGGACTCTCACCGAGTCCGTCCGTAGTAGTTCCAGTGGCTGCACTGCGCAGCTCCAGCTTGGAGATTGCCTCTTCGACTTAACAGACGATGGCGGCGCAATAGCAGTCACCTCGTTTCGATCCAGTGGTGATGTGATTGATGGGGTTACAGAGACGACCCTCGTCGCGCTTAAGACAATTGTCAAGAAGTTCGCTACGGTTCTGCGAGAAAAGCTGCTGCCCATTTTGCAGGAAAGGCAGATAGATCTCTCGAGTGAGCGTGATCAAAGCCGAACATTCGTAGCCGCCTACCTCACAACAGGTTTCAATCGCGTCGTGATGCAGGTACTGACTGTTATTTT